GCACGGGAACAGGATACATGGGGATGTCGACGTTGTCAGGAACGTGAAAGTTGCTATCCAGCCTCCATGAGTAGGGAAAGAGTGTTGATCGGGACAGGAGGAGAAAGCCACATGGAGCTGCTGGCGACTCATACCAATCCCTTCGCTGAGCCCCTGCACCACGATATTCGAGACATGGCCGAAGCAGCGGTCGAAAGCTTCCACTGCCGCCACAGACTACTCCAACTCGACTCATACTTTTCTGCCTCCGGCGACTTTCGTTTCGGTGCATCCGTAAAGTCTTCTATGTCGTGAAAAGGGGCCGCTTGTGTGGTGGGGAGGAAGTATCGCAGGGAGCCTACGGACGTCGTCGCTCAAGGCGGGAGGCCTTTCGATGGGGACGGCGCAGATTCCGTCCAGCCATGACCTTCCAGCTCATACCGCCTCTCCTTCGTACAGCAAACTCAAGCGCTGCGCCGCCGATCGGTTCTCGTTGTTGCGCGTTCTCGGTCATAGCAGATTTCCCCCTTGACGGTTTTCTTGTTCGCGGCAACGTGGAAGAGAGGTAGGCAATTGTGCGACGCGGGGCAAGACGTCAAGCATGCGCGTCGTGCTTGCTTCGGGCTGGTCCTCGGGAAAGCGGCTCGGCTGTGACCATCGCATCGGTCGTGGAGGCCGTCTAGGTGATGATGTCAGCAGCTGCCATTCCACTTTTGGGAGAGGAGGATGTCGTACCAGCGCCATTACTCTCGAGGACCAGTTGTAGAGACGGCACCTTTACGTAGATGAATGAAGTCGTCCGCGCATGATTCAGCCACTCCGGCTCCTTTGGAGGAGCTCGACAGCGGTTCGCTTGGGGCGAGCTCGAGTTCGGATGGTCATAGCGCGACGAGACTAACGGAGAGGAATCGCGATCACGCAATTGATCCTTCGTTGTGATGCGTGAGATGGGGAAATATGTGTGGACGGCAGACACGCAACACCAGGAGCTGGGAGCGCTGTCGCGACATGTCAATGCGGGGTCGCGTCGATGCGCGCTAGCGTACGTGCTCACGTGCGCGAGAGCTTGAGCGTAAGAGGACTAGCTCCCTGTCGTCGACATCATCGACTGACAGAGACATCTTCATCCCGATCATCCCATGCGTCAACCGTATACTCTCGATCTCATTCTGAGGTGCTATCTTTCCTTTTCGTATATGTCTGGTAGTTGTAGCTACGAAGAATAAATACCGTGCTCTTCTCTCCTATTACTACTACTACTGCGTCTATTCTATCCCAGCCTGTTCTGACCCCAGTGCTTGAGTATGCAGTCTATCCTTTCTCCACGGGGTGGAACCGTAGTTGATGGTACCTTCACGGCTCACTCATCACCTTCACCTGCTACACAACGACAAGCGTTACGCGGCATTCTCCATCCTCACTCACCTCGCACACATCTAATCTGAACGATGGGATCAAAGAGCTACATCATTCTATCCTCTTGAACTCTCATTGCCATTAGCATCGACCATATTCTTCTCCCTCTCTTCACGACACATCATTCCCCAAACACCCCGGACCTGCACACACGAGCGTTCTGCAAGTGCATCGCGAGAATATGGCGACAGCTTCCGACCCCAGTGTCTCTTACCGCAAGCTCCACGAACATTTTGCGACGCTGGAAACCAAGTGTCAAGCCGAAGAAGCGGCACTGCAGGCGGCGACCCTGCGCGATCGCGCCTTCTTACACGAGTTTGACGAACGCGCGCTGCGTATCAGGCAAGAACTGCGGGCCGTTCAGCGAGATGCAGAGGAATTCATCTTCCACATGGACTGCAAGCAATCGTTGGGGGAGCATAACCAGCGCTTGCCTATCCGACGCAGGGTGGAGTCCATCGTCGTAAGGACTTGGTCCACCCAGTTTCTTATATGCACTGACCCAGTGGATAGAAGAAGACAGCAGAGGGAGCCAACAAGTACGCGCGGATGCTCGGCGCCGTTGACACCGCGGATGCAGGGCGACGCGCTGGAGAGTTGGATGGAAAAGCGGTGATGGCGTCGGCGCATAGTGGAAGTGCTAAGGCGGCTAGCAGAGATGCTGTGAACAGGTCCTTGGATGCGAGTGTGAATGGACATGCAAAAGAAGCTGAGAAGGATCAAGACTGGGAGTTGGTCGCATCTTGAGGGCACAACCACCACCCGTACATGGGGAGGTAGTTCATGGATACAATACCGTATCAGGTGATTCTGAAAGTATTACGCTTTCTCGTATTCCTCAAACGAGAAAAGTTTGGGCAATTTTGACTATTGAGCTAAGATCGCGATCCCGTATACATTGTGTGAGCTTATCCGGTTCTATTGATACTAATTGCCACAATGACGCACCAGTAGTTCACGAAGCAGACACATGCACCTCATACAAGAAAAAGGTGAACAGGTCTAGAGCCTACATCAACGCTAGGTCATCTGTATTGTACGCTTACATGTTAATGTAGGCTGCAGGCCTGTTCAGTTTTTTTCTTAGTTAACGTGCATGTATGTGATGTTCATGGTTTAAATGACTCTGTGGCTTTGAGCTTGTTGGATCTCTTGTATGCATAGCATATGACTATTTTGTGCGTTGTACTGGCGAGATCTTTGCGTTATCTCCACTGCCAATTATTTCCAAGTGATAAGGCTATGAAGCGATACAGCTCAGTATAGCATCGCGTAGGAAGCGCAACTACTAGCTGAGAGTGTCGTAGAAAGAGGACAACTTCACTTTCTTCGCACACATGTGAGCCAGACCCAATGACGTGCCGTATCTCGACTGTATCGAAAGATCGCGCCTGGCACTTGACGTCCGCCGCATGCTGGTCTTGGAAATGGAGACATAGGGAGGTAAGAGCATGATAAAATTGTGGAAACAAGTGCCGCGTACCACTCTTTGCCCAAATGCTTATGAACCGTTCGGCGCATCGTTCTCTGGTATTCTTGACGTAATCGGCCACAGATGTCGGAAGCTCGGCCAGTATCGATATCGTGTGCGCTGGACACTCAGACTCTGATTTCGCTCGTTTCATCCAGATGTCATCCATGGAGACGCATCTTTGGCCCTACGCGCGGGGAATCTCGGGCCGCAGGTGGAGTCGTGCAGAAGGGTACCTTGACTGGGGGTTTCGGACGGCCTGATCAATACGGTCCAGTCACCTCGCTGTGGCCGAGAGAAGACGGCGTCTTGATCATCGGTGTCGCTGCTGCTTGAACCGCGAGAGTGCTTTTGAACGACAGTGGATTCGCTGGTTTGGTGAGAGTGCGGCGCCGTGGCTGCGACGCCGACGCTCCTGGTGTAGTCGGGGTAGAGCTGTGGCAAGGGAATGTTTTGTTTGTATCTGGTAGGTACGCCTTCCCAAAGATCCCGCATGTAGTCTTCCTCCGGTGTAGAAGCGCCCATGGTCATTCTGCCCTCGCGATGCGCCTTCCCATGTTCGGTGCTGCAATGCTTCGCCAAGATCGCCTCCGGTGTATGGGCAGGACGCGACTCGATAGCATCACGACCGTAGTGTTCTCTTCTATGTTCCATTTGATCAAGGAGCAAACGTAGGCTCTCGTCAAGATCCAGGACGAAGTCAAAGTCGTATGACCCGGCCCAGTCGGGTGTAGCGGGCCGAGTGATGAGGCAGCGGCCCTGTGTTTCAACAACCTGCGCTGCCATGTATACCGCATCCGTATCGAGGCTGCCGAGCGACATCATGGGGAAGATATGGGTGGTTGCGAATCAAAGCGTTGGTCGTGTAGAGATTGATGTCGTCTAGGCCGCCGCTCCAGCTCCCGAATGTGAATTATGGAGTGGGGCCGTGGGTGGAGTCATGTGACCGCTGCAAACGCTCAATTTTTTATCGAAACTGCGACTTCTGTCCGAGTGAGGCACAATAGCTTCAGTACGCGCAGATGACTCTTCCCATGTTCAAGGGCGCAACACAAACATCATAGCACCACTTGCGACATTGACAGCAGTCAACGCTACCGCCGAATTGGCGTTCTATTGTGGCGTCAATCGGTGTCTGCAAGTACATCCAGGATATCTCGTGGTAATTCGGTCGGAGGGTGGCATTCGGATGTGTTCTGCAACCACTGTTTACACCATGGTTTTTTCGACACAGACTTATCCAGAACCGGACTAGCGTGGACGATGCCCCTCGTCTCGTCCTCCGGGCCCTACCCTCATCTTCATCTCTCCCTCATGCTCGGTCTCCGCGGCTCGCGGCGCTCGTCATTCGAATTGCGCTGGCTTTCACCTGGGCGTCCGTATCGCTCGCCCCTGTCCGCGCCGTATTCCTGTCCCTGCCATGCCAATTCCAACGGCCGCGCAACTGGTGTCCGCATAACGGCTTCTAGATCCTACCTTCCACGCTGATACGTCTGCGACGCTCTATTTCCAGGAGGAGGGACACGTTCAAACGTGCGGCAGAAGACTGAGCGGGAGTTGCGAACGTCGCCCAACTGGTAAGGCGCCCTACGCATTAACCGTAGCGCTCCGCCTCGTTCCCAGGTTAGTTGGGAGAATTCCTCCAAGGGGTGCAACCCTGGTATCGCGGTCAACACGCACATCGGTTCGGAGTGGTTGCACGGTCAACGTCTCTCACCACCGAACCCATTGTACCACCATGTCCACGGCAATATATTCTCCAGCACGAGCTGCATCTTATCACCCAAAATCTCTCGCACGCGCGATCCCTACCAGGGGCTAAGCGACTCTCCAGCGTCAAATATGGGGAGGTGGCTGCTTACAGCCGCCAGCCACGCTATGCAAGCCATTTACGCCCCATCCGCAAGCAACATCTACAGTACATGTCTCAGCCGCCCGATCGAGACAGGCTTGCGAGGTGCGTACGTCTTTCATCCTCAGCCTCGCTGTCCACGACCTTAGAGCAGGATTGCCTACGTATGTATCAACAACAGCTTCCTTTAGTCAATATGTATAACGGTGAAATGCCCCGTGGGTTCATTGCCCGCACAAAACATCACAGATATCTACATCTGCTTCCCGTGCTGCTCATACCATGAGATATACACTTGCGCTTCTCAGCGCCTTCCTACTGCCCTTCCACTGCATCGCTTCACCCACACCCACGTCAATACCCTCCCCAGCCACTGCCGCTAGAGATGTCATAAGTTCCGTGCCATCAGCAACCGCTCCGCCTTCTCGTCGCGATGACGACTTCGCACCAGACATTGCGCCGTTCTCGTTATACCTCTCCACAATATCGATCGCAGAACCTTCCATACCATCACTCTCACTCGACCTTCCACCTGAGACCTGCACGCCTGGTTTCAGCTCATACGCCACTCCCGGGCTCGATGGCTACGTGCCTGCGGAGGCATGCAATGCGTTATGGGTATACTTTCCCAACTTCGCCGCGGCAGTAGCTTTCTCCGTGCTGTTTGGCATGCTCACCATCGTACATCTGGTTCAAGCAATAGTGTACCGCAATGGCTTCTGCTGGGTTATTATCATGGCCGCTCTTTGGGAAACTGGCGCATATGCGTTTCGCGCTCTTGGTTCCAAGGACCAACAATCCTCTGGCATTGCAACGGTCGCTCAGATCTTGGTGTTGGTAGCGCCTATCTGGGTGAACGCCTTCGCCTATATGGTCTTCGCCCGCATCGTTCACTTCTACTCACCCACTCGCAAGGTCTGGATCTTCTCCCCCTCCATCCTCGCACTCATCTTCGTCACCCTCGACATCGTCTCTTTTGTCATACAGCTCGTTGGCGGTGGAATGGCAGGTCCAGGTGCAAGTCTGGAAGCACAAAAGAAGGGCTTGAACATATACATGGGTGGTATCGGTATGCAGGAAGGCTTCATTGTTCTGTTTCTGGGGTTGGTCGTCAAGTTTCACCGCGACCAGCTCCAGGCGGAGAGGGTGGGACGCTTGCCCGCGGACAAGATTGGTGGCTGGAAATGGTTGCTGTACGCGCTGTACGCATGCTTGCTGGCTATCACTATTCGCATCATCTACCGTCTCGCCGAGTTCTCCGCCGGTCTTGGCGCAAGCAACCCTCTGCCGAGCAACGAGCCTCTCCTGTACGTCTTGGAGTCAGCTCCAATGTGGTTAGCCATCTTTGTGTGGAACATAGTCCATCCCGGTCGCTTTATCCGTGGCCCAGACGCCAAGATGCCGCGTTCGTGGCTGTCACGTCATCTTTGCTGCTGCTGTGGCAAACGTCGTTGCGACGACTGCAATGGTAAGCTTGGCCACGCTGGACCTCATCATCAACGCCTAGGAGACGACTCGGATCTGGAAGACAACCAGGAAATGCATCCCGTATCGAAGAGTGCCGGAGGTCATCATGCCGTCAGCCCGACAAATCCTTTCCTGGATGAAACATCTCGCGACTCTTCCTCGAATTCCGACTCCAGGGAAGGGCACCGTCTTCGCCCTTCGTCGGCTGCCGCAAATTTCCGCGATGTCAGCCCAGAGCCAACATCATATACTGCATACCGTGCTCGTGGGGTTCTGGGCTAAGCGGAATTAGTTCAACTCCCTTAGCTCATTCCATTGGCAGCGGGTTCATTCGAGGACAGACAGTATACATTGGACAAGAATGAAAAGAAGTTATTGAGTGGATTAGTGGTGGCTGTAGAACCGTACAATCATATGTAGGTATATATCATGGACTTGGGTGAACAAGAAGCAATGTTAGAGCTATCACAAAATGATCTGCCCGTGAGCCATGCCCGCCGTTTCGACTGTGTCTCTTCCGGGGAAAGAATAGACCCAGTGCATCCTTGGTCTACGTCTGGGCGATCTCCAGGTTCAATGAGGTGGCGGGTTCATGCATGTTACCCCGTGCTTCACGCAATGATTGAACGTAACCTCCCCATCAGCACCAACACCAAACTCGACGTCTTCGTTGATACACTTCAAAGGAAGAGAGATAGGCGGCTTCAAAAGCAGCGGGAGGATTCCGAGTTTAAGGCCTCTCTGGTGGTAATCGTGAGTGCTCATCTTGACGTTGCAAAGCGAAATATCAGCCTCGAGAGTCATGGCAATGAAAGACTGCCTACCGGCTAGCTTGCCATGCATGATGGACACTTCCTGCTTCATTGCCCCCCCTTCGTTCAAGCCAGTCCTTCCCATTGGACTTTGGGCCGATCACAACGGCGAGGTCCAAGTAGTCAGGATGCCCATGGCGAAGGTACTCGAGGTCTGCGCGACGACGACAGATCTTCTTGGATTGCATCTGATCCGGCGCTTCTGTTGACCATCCGTCTTCCGAGGAAACCGGATCCACTCCGTCACCTCTCCATGCGATGTCGGAGATACGCTTGGTTGGTGCGGGCGGAGGTCGTGGCGGCAGCGGCACTCCGTAGAAGCCGTTGATGAGCTTCTCGAGGGAGTTGTTGTTGGCCGTAGCTCCAGGGCTGATTATGGTTCGTGGGTGTGAAATAAGAGTTATGAGTTGATGGGGTAGGAAGTGGAGTGTAGGAGTCTTGGTTCTATCGAGCCTAGTGAAATATATCGCCAACCTGAGCGCGTACGGAGCGCTCTTCCACCTTGATCTTTAAATAGGGGAAGCATCCAATACCATGCTGCTACCTGCAATGCTAAATTGCTTATCGCCAGTGTAACCTAGGATGCTCAGATATGCGGCAAGCCTCTTATGTGATTCGCCACGTGGCTTGACGCCTGCGTGAACGCAAGACCAGGGCTTGCATAAACCCTGTTCAAACATCTGTTCGATGTTAGGCTCATATTAGTATAACATTGGTGTAACGGCCAAACGAGGGTCACGCGAAGTTGAGACTCAGTGCGGAAACCATTAGTAGCATTCTCGTCTGCCGCTCAGTCGGTGCTATTAAATCATCTAAGTCTATGAATGGGTATTTGGGTGTCGTGTATTTTGAGGGATGATAGTCGATGTCGACGACAAGCAAGCTGGTCAGAAGTGCAACTTGAGCTGACGGCATCCCCCCTCCACGAACCAAGCTTCGAGACCCAACAAAATGCTGCAGTCTTCCTGGAACGTCAGGCGACCAATGTGTATGCCCAAGGGCACCGTTTGACTCTCTTCGACTGCACATACCAGAGCACCACTGTCGCCCGGGGCGGCGAACGGGGTGCATTCAGCGATCCAGTTAACGATGCCGGCCCACTTGTGCATGTCGTGCCACCATAATTTCTCCAAGGGAATACCGAGATCCTTGATCTTGAGCTTTTCGTCGGGGTTGTCTCTGACCTCCTGCTTCACTGGTGCATACTAGGCACCTTTCATGCTGAAGTGTATGTTCGTCAGGATACCGAAGGTTTTGCCGGTCGTGAAACCCTCCTTGTACACGCGGATGCCTGGTCTCTGCTGTATCAGGCTGTTTATTTGGAAGCCACGCGTGGCCTCCCTCTCCATATCAAATTCTCGCGAATGCCCGTTGGCTCCGTAGTAGTGGAGACTTATCCGGGGTAGAGCGGCCTCGACCTTGTGCTTGTCGTCGTCCTGAACTTTGAGGATTCCCACTTCTCTGGCCATCTTGCTTAGCGGATCAGTGTAGCGAACGCGCAGGTGATCGGCCTTGATCTTCTCGAGGGTGAGCCGATGCTCAATCTTGAAGGTATGTTCTGTGGAAGTGCACACAGGCCTCCCCCGATATCATGCAGGCCCCTGCTGTTCCAATCCCAGGAAATATGCCGTTGCGGTCGATGATGCGATCCCCTAATATGCAGGGCAAGGAACTGACGACCGTTTGCCATGTTCGAGTGCGTGGTCTTGCGATCCACAACCATGGAGACGACGTTGACCCAACCCAGAAGCAATGTCTGCGTCTAAACCGCTTGTCTGCTCTGAAACACACTTCAGCACGTCTCATGACCTTCTTTGTCGCTGTGTAGTCGTCTGGATGTGGAAAATCGGGTTCGATATGCGGAGGTTCTGAAGCCACACTGTTCAGTTATGTCGGCCCCTAGAGTCTGAAAATCGCGATCTCTCATTTGGTGAGGAGTAAATTTTGCGTATGTGGTGGGTATGTATTCCGGGAGTCATGAGTGGCTCGTCTCGCATGTTGGCCCCTAGCATGTGACGGAAGTGACGACTTCAGCGTTCGCCTCGGCCGTGTACCAGTACTGGTCGAGATGTAAGCGACGTCCCGATTTTCGCTGTGTCGGTAGTGAGGATAGATTGCCGCACGAGCAGCACCCGGGCGTCTGCAGTATAACAAGTAGCAAAAAGGCTGTTCATCGATGGAGATTTTATGGGCTGTTGTTGCCGCGTTCGCGCATTTCATCAGAGAAATTGACAATGTGAGACGTGTCGCAACGTTAAGAGTCCATGTGGTCGGTCGAGAGGATATCTCACTGCTTGGTGCGTGTAGGGCCACTCCTCCGGTCAATGCCGCGACGAAAAGGTCCATCACAGCTTTCGAGAAAGTGTCAGCAGCTCCGTGACCGTGCTACGCATGGTGGCCAATCGCAAACCACTCCGAGCTAGATCCGCGCCGTTGAGCAGCTTGAAGATCAGCATACGGCCCGCACCGCGACTGCGGCTCCGCTCAGTCCAGGGCAGTCATCCCAATAAGTCCACCAGTGAGGGCGAAGATTGAGGGGAGTCGTGCAGATATCTGTCGCATTGGATCTTGCTAGATCTCTCCCGGTTTTTGCCCGTGTAAACCGTTGTAGACGCGAAGGTTCGATGGGAGAGACAAGTGGGGCAGAGAGGTGACCTGCTGTCTCCGGTCTCCCGAGCCTCACACATTTTTGGCAGCTGCATCCTCGCTCACCAGATTTTCAGCCCAACACATCTATGAAAGCGAGAAGATAAGGAAGGATATGCGTAATGGCTTTGGATGTATTTGTATCATTGAATGCTAGTCAAGGAAGGGCGCATACGACACATTCATTGGTGCTGACTGCGCCTAGGCGTCTCGAGAATAAACGGAGAGAAGCTCGGTGCACCGTGTGCTGGTATTTACGTTTACATAATATGAAGACTAAACCAAAAGCGGTGCCATATAACACATTGCCGGTACCTCAAATCTCGTGCTCCAAAGCATGAGCTGAAGAGGAGCTCACAATCGAGCGGCATTCGTGCTTCTCACGATGAGTAGCAGGACAGCATTGCTATAACTTGCGCGACCTCCTTCGTCCCCATCACTTCCACCATTGGTTTCGTGGTCGTTGTCTTCTTGCATCCGATGGCGGTCGCGCTACCACTGGCACCTGCGTTTCCAGGCAAGCTGTGGCGCCCGTGATCTTTAACCTCCTCTAGGATTGTGAGAGCTCGTCAATCTGGTCTTGCGGAACGTAACTCTCAGCGGAATCCCTCTGCCTCTTCCGCGTTCGTGGTATTGATGTGTGGTTGCTGTTGGTGGCCTTTGACTTTGAGGTCGACTTGGGTGTTGCCACACTCCTACGAGGCGTCTTTGGATTTACCGTGGCTTGGGTGACGTGAGAACGGACAGAAACCGATCCGCGAAGAGCGAGGGCTGCCACACGTCTAGCCTCTTCCAATTCGTGCCTCGCCTTCTCCACGGCGCGAGTCTTTTGCCAAAGGGGGAGTGCGTCCTTCATAGCTTGGAGCCGATCCCCAAGCGCCCAGTCCAGGTGGCTTTTCAGGATCGCCTGGGCCTTCGCAATTTGCTCCTCCATAGACAAACTGCACGAGTACAGTTCTTTCATAAAGTATTTTCCATTGTCCACCCCTTCGCTCCAATGTAGCCAGAGCTGGAGCAGCATCATATCGCATGTAACGGACATGTGCATGGTGTAGGCCGAAGTCGCAGGTATAATATCGCCGTACGCGGACTCGAAGTATTGCCGATGGTAATTTACGATCGTCGCGCCGTGGAGAGCAGACTTCTTCATCGCGTTAAGGATGGAATGTCCGTCTACTGCTTCCCACTCGGCAGTGAGGAACGGGAAGGATAGTTCGGGGTTCAGCTTGAAACTGGCAATCTAACGTCAGCATGGGAATCTGGGGAGTGATCGTCAACTCACTTCTTCAGGAGCTCGTTATCCTCTTCCGTCAACCCTGAGTCTACACCGGTCTCGCTGTCGCGGGGATTTAAATATCCAATGGCGAGATCCGGTTTATATCTCAGGGCATCTGAATCGGAACTTGGTGGGATTGGAACAAAGTCTGTCGTCATGGTATAGTCGTGGCTGATATCGATGTTGGGTATGCCACGTGCATAGCCGGTTCGCTCTCCCTGAAAGAGCAGCAGCGGTTCCATCATGTTAACAGCACTCTTCTTGTCCATAGAGCGGGCCTCCCGATGTTGATAGACGATCTCCTGTGCAGCATGAGCTTGTTCAGGCATGACCGGCGCGTTCAGCATTTGCTCCACACGCTCACTCAGCTCTCGTGGGAACGCCTTGTCGGCACAGTCAACGATCAGGTTGTGTTCGACTAGCTCGTCGATCGTGCGCCTGAACCTTTGGGAGGACGGTGTGGTCGGGGGTGCCATGCTGAGCGAAGATGAAGAAGTGAGTTGGGCGGGTGGAAAGATCAATGACTGGCTGGCGATGGTCGAGGAGGCGCTTGTCTAGCAGTCACGTCGAGCATTTTGAGCTCAAGGTCGCAAAATGCAATTTGTTTGCGCGATCGCGAGAGATATGAGCGATATATGGCGCTAATCCCATGATGGACGATATCTGCAGCTTTCCGCAAGGCGCCTCGTCGTTCTCGCAAGCCTGACCGAATCTTTTGGTGTGGATGGACGAAGGAACGAGTGTGCCTGTGGGTATATCGTAGCATGCAATCATGGACGACAGTGATTTGAGGAGAGTGGTGGCTGAGAATGGAGACGTGGGGTGGAGGAGGACGCGCTGCGCGCCAACCCTGGGAGCCGCTGGCATACGCCAAGCGAGCTAGTGTGCGTCACCTGTACGCTACCACGCCACTCGAGATAAACGACATTAACCCGGGCACCCTATTTAAGAGAAAAACTAAACACCTAAGAGCCTATATTAAGACAAAAGCTTATAAAGTTAGTAGCCTAATAGTAACGTAGGCTTCTAGGTGTTTAGTTTTCCCCTTGTATAAGGTGCGGGCAAGATTGTACGACACGCACCACCAACATATGTGTGGACACTTACTCCTGGATCTTGACAGTGAGCGGAGTGAATCGCCGACGCAAGTCACCGTCGCGCCTTCCAACAGGCGCCAGATAGCTGGTTGACATGAAGGCATCGATCAAGCCGGGCACGACCTCAGAGCCCAGCTTGTCTCGCTTCGAACCAGCTCTCGGCGTCAAATTCACGTCGCTTGCCACTTCACAGACTTACGGGCACTCGACATACGTTCGCGAAAGCTCCGCTGTTAACAAGCTTCATCTGTCAACACTTCCATTCACGACACTGGCGCCACGAATACCTTTGGCATCCACTTCATTGCGCCACGGACTAGTTGGACGTTCGCGAGGGATGGATCGAAGATCGCATGTGCCGTGCATGGGCGCTGTTCATTGGCTAAACGCGTAGTCACGTGTACCGCGGATCGAAGCTCGCTTAACCCCTGGCGATGACGGCACGCGCCCTGACTAGCAAAGCTCCGAACCAACCAACACGAGAATCGTCCCACACCAACAAAGTAGCGCCGGCGCCAGCCCCATCGCATCATGGCGACCCCGCCTGGTATGACCGCCCTTGCACGTAGCCCGCTACCCCTCCCGTCATCTACGACCCCTTCCGCATTTCGTGTCTTCATCGTTGGCGCGCAATCGTGTTTGCTAACATACACCAGCTTCGGGCAAGCCACGCCGCTCCACACGCAGATCCACACGCTTCGACTACGCCGAACCGTCGCCAGAATCGGAAGACGAAGAACACCTTGCCGAGTGCGTCCTTCAAGAGGAGCGTCGGGAAGATGGCGTACTGTGGTACGAGGTCAAATGGGCTGGCACCGATCCGAAGACTGGTCTGCGCTATGAGCCCAGCTGGATCCCGGCCGACGGAGCAAACAACGCGTTGAAGAAGGACTGGGAGAGACTGAAGGAACTCCGCAGGGCTCGAGATGCTGTCGTAGCTCGTACTGCCCGTCAATCTGGAGCTACCCGTCGAGCTGAAGCTAGTCATCAAGCCAAAGCTGAGCGCACCGCCGAGGCCGGTCGCATCGTTGAAGGCGTTCGGGCGGATGAAGCTGCTCTGGAAGCTCGAGGTGGTCGCGTCGACCATACTGCCAATGCTCCCGTCGCCAGGGCTGCTCATTCGACCGCGACACCCGAGGCCTCTGATGACGACGAATTCACACTCGCGCGCGAGTTCCAACCAGCAACTCCCCGGCGTGAAGAGCGCGCGATGCGCCTTCTACATCAACCTTACGAGTCCTTGCGTCGTACTCGCCAACCCTCCTGCGATCGACCTCTTCCTTCAACTGAACAACCCTACACACTCAGTGCTAGGCAGACGACGGCACCCATCTTCACACCTACGCCGCGCTCCGCTGTCTACCGTTATCAGCCCTACCCATCCAGCAGACCACCTAGCTCACCACCTATACGACGGCCTGAGTCATTACATCGGCTAATGGCGGAGGTAATGGCGGAGTCGGCGCGAAATGCTGCAAACACGGAATTGGACCGTCAATGCTTCATATGTTTCGATAGCGTCGAGACTTTTGAAGCGGACGGTATTCACTACCAGAGGCTACGTTGCTGCGGTATGTATCCCATCCGTCTACTCACCAACACCTTGACTGACTGTACCAGGGAAGCTCAGCTGCCACAACTGCTTACGGAGTTGGCTTGAGCGCGCAGACAAACCGGACGTGTGTGCGCACTGCCGACAGCCTC